TTTTTTTGTTTGTTTTTTTATCAATAAAATAAAGGCCATCAACTCTGCATCGAGTCCTCGCTCTTTTCACCATCCCCACACCTGACAATCGAGTTTAAGAAGAAAAAAGAAAAGAAAAAAGAGCTTCCCCTCTTTGAAAGACCAGCAGCCGCCACTGATATATATTTATATATATATATATATATATATATATATATATATATATATATATATATATATATATATATATATATATATATAAATATAAATATAAATATAAATGTATTGGCTTTTCTTACTAGAAAAATTCAAAATAATTTGTTTCTGCTATGATTTTAATTTGGACCGTAACATGTGGTAATTAGTACTTACCTTATACCATTGAATTGCAATGACACTTAAATGTCAGGGCAAATATACTGTGTAATTAAAACGTTTTTTGTTGTTGTTTTGTTTTCTTGATAACAGTAGGACCTTTCTCTCTAATTACAGTGCAAAAAGTGTTGTTTCGTTTTGCTACATAGTAAGTAGCGTTTGTTACCCCCTTGTTCTGCGTAGTTACAGGGTAACTCCTGCGGGCTGTAAATTAAAGTGGTGCTTGTTACCCCTTTATTACCCCAAACTTAAAATATTGTTCCCTTATACTTAGACGGAAGTACACTATAATTACAGAAACGTACACCGTAATTTCAGTGTACTTACACAGTTGTTTGCGGGTCGTAAAATAAAGTGTTACCCTGAGAGCTGTTGATGTGGATTAGATATGTGTGTGTGTGTGTGTGTGTGTGTGTGTGTAAACATGTCTGGACCTGACAGTTGGACTAGTCTTTCACATTATAAATACTTTCACATTCATTTACCATGAAAATAACGATTCAAGAATGTGCCACACAGCCGTCATTCATCATCACAAACTGACGCTGTGACACATTTTTGGCCTATAACACCAAAATATTTTCATTGTAACTGAATGTGAAAGTATCCGCAGTATGTAACTCTAGTATTTACTTGTTAAACTGAGTGTTTTATGCTCAAGTTGGATTGAAAGTTTTACATCTTCTATACTTTACAATAAGGTCTCATTGACAACATTTGTTAACTACATTAGTTAAAGGGTTAGTTCATTCAAGAAATGAAAATTAAGTCATTAATTACTCACCCCCATGCTGTACCAACCCTGTAAGACCTTCGTTCATCTTCGGAACACAAATGAAGATATTTTTGATTAAATTTGAGAGCTGTATAACTACCACATTGGCTCCTAAGGGACTGCCTCTTGACGGCCCAGAAAGTCAATGAAGAAAATGTTTAAATATTCCAAGTGACTACCGTGGCTCAACTATATGTTTATCAAGCGACGCGAATACTTTTTGTGCGAAAAAACAAACAAAAATAACGAGTTTATTCGACTATTTCTTTTCTTCCTTGTAGGCCAGAAACGAGATTTCCTTAGATTTCCACGACGCATGCGCGAGAATTGCGATCTCCTTACACTACTGATCAGTTCAGTTCTCGCGCATGCGTCGTGGAAATCTAAGGAATTCTCGTTCTGGCCTACAAGGAAGAAAAGAAATAGTCGAATAAACTCGTTATTTTTGTTTGTTTTTTCGCACAAAAAGTATTCGCGTCGCTTGATAAACATATAGTTGAGCCACGGTAGTCACTTGGAATATTTAAACATTTTCTTCATTGACTTTCTGGGCCGTCAAGAGGCAGTCCCTTAGGAGCCAATGTGGTAGTTATACAGCTCTCAAATTTAATCAAAAATATCTTCATTTGTGTTCCGAAGATGAACGAAGGTCTTACAGGGTTGGTACAGCATGGGGGTGAGTAATTAATGACTTAATTTTCATTTTTGGGTGAACTAACCCTTTAACATGAACTAACGTTGATGTCACTTCTACATAATCTATCAATATAAGTACATACTAATTTCAACATTTACTAATACATTTTAGAAATTAACATATTTAATGTTTTAAAGGGATAGTTCACTTTGAAATTAATTTTTGATATGTTTTAGCTTACCTCAAGAGCATCCAAGATGTAGGTGTCTTTGTTTCCACAGTATTTTCAATTTTGATATTTTTAGGTCAAACTGTTTTTGTCTGTCAGTCATATAATGGAGGTCTATGGTCACCACCTCAAAGAGCAGCACAGAGTAGTCCAGATTAAACATGATTTAATGACTCGTAAATGTAAGTACACATTGATGGCCTAAGACACTAAACGAGCGGTTTGTGTGAGAAAACCAACAGTATTTATATTGTTTTTACCTTGTGTAATCACAGCCACGTCCAACAGATCTGAATCAGTTGTTCAGTGTCCAACTGAACCATGTTCAACGTTACGCCAGAAGTGATCGCTTGCGTGTGTATGTCACTCATTGTTTACACAGAGATTTCGGAAGTTTTACCTTTCACTAAACATATTTAGATATATTGAAATCGTCTTCCATTGCGATTTTCTGTATATCTAAATTATTTAGATCTTCACAGTGAAAGGTAAAACTTCTGAAATCTCTGTGTAAACAATGAGTGACGTACACGCGCGAGAGATCACTTCCGACGGAACGCTCTGACATGATTCAGTTGGACATTGGATTAGCGATGAAAGAAATGAAACATAAACGTTTGCACACACATGTCTGTCTGTGTGTCTGTGTCTCTCATGTCGTTAAGTCTTTGATTTTCAAATAGCATTTTTTTTTTTTGCTTTAAATCAAAGTGTGTAATGTTATACATTGCCTTGTTGCTGGTTGGTTTTGTTCATTATTAGCTGTTAAAAGAAAAGAAAATCCCTCTGGGAAAAATGAATGGAAAAAAGAAATGATACTTGCAGCACTGACACCGCTGACAAAGTGACCGTCACTGTTGTGCTCAATTAAATGTATTAACCATTATATATAAAAATACATTTCAACATGAATTATCTCAAGTTGAATCCATTGTTGCATGTTTAAAAAAAATATTTAACTACAGTAAATTTCTGACATTTTTACATTATAATATAATGATATGCTTTTGAAGTCATCTTTGAGAGTGGAGGTTCGGGAACCATATGCAGGATCACAGTAACCACCTTGTATTATGATTATATTATGATTACATACTGATGTACAGGAGTGCCACAAAACATTGACATGGTGTGAGCTTTTGTATACCAGCCTAGAGGAGTGGCACTGTACACACATTTCATCTGGAACAAAATATTTGAGCTTTTGTATACCAGCTTACAGGTGTGGCACAAATACAGTATTTCATATGGAACAAAACATATGATATGGTATGAGATTTTGTATACCAGCTTACAGGTGTGGCACTGGACACATATTTCATTTGGTATGATCTTAGTGTGCATAAGACTCTGCATATTGGTATTAAGTTCACTACAATTGTCTTGCAGTTTCAAAGATGAGAGTGAGGCCAAACATAGTTCCAAGAAAAATATCCTCATCATGTTTGTATTTAATATGTTTTAACAGCTTTTCAGTGAAGTTTCAACAGCAAAACAGTTATGAAACTCAAATTAGCAAAAATGTTCATCAGAGACTGTAGTTTATGCATTTAATCATGGTTTTAGTGTGGTTTATGTTCATTTGTTACTCAACCGATATTACAAAACATGATAAAACTTTTAATTTAGTTCACACAAAACTCTTAATGTTAAACTCATTATTTCTTATAATCGAGTGTGCTGAGAAAGACAGGCAATAATCCTAAAGCATAATTAATAAGCTTTGGGGAAAAGCTCCTGTAAAACTGAGTGATTTAATTTTAATAGACAGGAGTTGGATCAAGAAAGAAGAAGGCTAGATGGTTTCAGATCTGTTTTTCTCAACATCAACCAAAATAAAACTTTTTTGATAGTATTCTGTAAGGGGAGCCTTGTTATCGTTTACTAAACTAATTCCTGATCTCATAGGCTATTTATAACTTTTCTTTCACTATATCACAGTGTGTTCGCAGCATGTCAGAGAGCCAGGAAAACGTTTCTGTTCTTGTCATGCTCCCGGAATGATCTGCAAAATATACTCAAACTAGAGATATTGCGAACCTCTGAGTACTCTTAATGTCTTTTACTAAATGGTTTAAAGGCGCCTTGTAAGTGTTTATCTTGATCTACTTACGAGTGTTATCTTTGTGTGCTGCCGTCTAGACCAGAAGAGAGTAGACCGTATATATCAATGGGATTTACCAGGTTAAATAAAGGAAAGAATAAACACAATGTACTGCTTCTTTAGTTCCATGGAAAAGGAGTGAAAGCCACGGGACACAAGAATAATCCCCGATCGCCACAACACAGTCTCATGAAGGTGTGTATCGGCTATCTAGACCACGAATGTTTGCTTGCATACGCACTGGAAACCCCTTGGGTGGATTGAGGGGGGGGGAGTGTGTGTGTGTTACATGGTTCATTTAACACGCACATAAGTTATTTTTGCCCTAACTACTTTTGGTGTTTAAATAGCACAAGAACATCGGGCTAAATGTGGAGGAGATGTGTATGCGAGAGTATGGTCATGGTTCAACTATTAAATTAGACAGTGGCGGATTTAGCAAATAATTTAGAAAATGTGTGTGTGCGTGCGTGCGTGCGTGCGTGTGTGTGTGTATGTGTGTGTGTGTGTGTCATTGGGTTACAGCGGCCAGCCGGCCACAAAACATCACTTATGAGTCAGTTTTATAAATGTTCAAAGGCAATAAATAGGATATTAGGATTTATTCAATTTAACGTTTATTAATATGCATATAGACTTATAAGTTATCAATAGGAGTTGAAATCTAAAATGTAATTTTTAGAAGAATATGGTTCAAAATTAATCACAAAATAGATCATGTTGGTATGTACTTCTCTAGTGGACAATGACTTTTTTGTGGGGGGAAAAACAAACAAAACAAATAATAAAAGCATTGAGAAACTCAACCTCTGCCAAAAGAGGCGTGAGCTTCATGCATATCACGTCATGACGACATATAAAGCCAACAGTCAGATCGACAGCCAGTGAAGTGTGTGTGGACTATCCTGACATTATAAATATCACACATCTCAACGTCAGAGTCGCAGTGAGCAGGAGATTCTCTCTTTCAGATCATCTCAAGGTAATTCAACACATCCATCTTTTTTGTAAAGAGTATTTGTATAAATCCTGAGCAGTGATGTTAGAGTAGTACGGTAGAGTTACAGTGAAACTGAAAGATAAATCTGTACTGTATAAAAATGATCACAAACATATTTAACATTTCCCTCAGATTCAATTTTGGAAATTATTTGGAAAAACAAACTAATTTAATGCATGGCAGGATTATATCCGGACCATCACAAACTGCAAAAGAAAGACAAAACAAGAAAGAAGAGAAAAATGTCAAGCAAAAAGGACATGATACAACCTGATCAAGCAAAAACTAAAAAGACACATGTGAGACGGCAAAGCATTTACAGTGGCAAACCCAATTGTGAGTATGTATGAAAATATAAATGATTGTGTCTTATTCTGTTTGATTATATAAAGTTAATTCAAATTCATTTAATTAATCAGATATTTGTGTTTGCCTTTCTCAGTTTCTAATGATGAGGACAGTTTTGAGGTGAGAGATGATCTATATATACAGAGATGAAATAGAAACTGTAAATATTCAACGCATTCTCATCCCAAGGCATCATATACGACGCTTTTGCCACATCCAAGGCACATGGCACCCTATTGGGCGTCAACATCGGTTATGGGTAGGTTTAGGTCTGGTGTAGTGTTAGGGTTAGACCACTAGGAGGCGCCTTAGAAGGCGCCCCATATATATATCTGCGTCTCATATTGACGCTAAAGGGTGCCATGTGCGTTGGATGTAGACGCAATGTCAAAAGCGTCAGTATATATGCGTTGAAATATTATGAACAAATCTCATGTTTTTTCTTTTTCTTTTTAGCGTACAGCAGATCATTTCATCAAACTAGCAAATTATTCTTCATTTCTTCACTATACAATGAATTTATTGTGTCTCCTAACTATATCTACACATAATTATAATATTTTATGTAATATTAACTTTAAACATAGCATAATTAAGACAGGTAGTCTCTTAACTGAAAAAAGTGTAAGACTCCATGTGAATCGCCATATTTAAATATTAAAACAATATATTCACATTTTATTCCTTTCATTTCTGTCCTCATTTCCTCTATTTACTGTTTTTTTTATGCACTTGTCACGTTTTAGTCTCCTTAAGATATATACCGGTGTATATAGGATCAATGACACAGTATGGTTTTCACTGATATACTGCTGTAATGTTATTATGATTGTATATAGGATCATTCTAGAATTATATTTTTGTATGTTTGTACAATGACAATAAAGAATCAAATTATTTCTGTAAACGATGTCCTGAAACTTAATGTTATTTACAAAAGACGAACAGCTGTATCTATATTTGACATCAGGATCAGTGTTGCGTTAATTCTAGAATCACATGAGGAAACTGAGGAAATGGAAAATACTAATTTGTGCTTTTTTTGGTCATGCAAACATGCCTAAAGGGTAATGGATAAGAGAATAGGGACGACCCTTTCAGACCGCCGCCGGGAGCATCATTATCCACATATAAAACAATAAACTATTTCTATTCATTTAAAGCATGAAACTGAACACAGCTGGATGGAGGGAAGGTTGTTTCTGCCATAATAAAAAACAAAACAAAAAAATACTCACATTTTATGTCTGACAATTCAGATTTATTCCCCATCACAGTTGTGAGTTTCTATCGCACAGTTCGGCTTTTGTTTCGTTTTCCACCACAGATTTAGAAAAATAGAAAAGTGTGTCTATTTATCACAACTGTTTTCATTACATTGTTTTTTTCTCACAATTGCAAGTTTATATCTTACAATTCAAACTTTTCTTCTCAGAAGTTCATATCTTTACTTGATAAAAAAAGACAATTACAATTACCTCTTTAACTTATTATTTGGTGTCAGAAATTCAATATGAATGTTTTATAGTGTTTCATAGCTTTTGACTTTGTGCATTTCTATCCCTTTCCACTTTTTCCACACTTGATCCACTCATCAACGCTTATATATCACCTATAAACGAGTATATAAAGTCTTAATTTTATTAAGATGGGTGAAAAATAGAAACATATGATCAGAATATGGGCTTGCCTAATAATTCATGCGCTATATGCATCACTCAAGTCGAGAATGTAGGAGAAAGGAGTCACCCACTGGTTACCCACGAATTTGCAAGAAAACAAAAAAATAAAACAAAGTCTATTTGTTTCAGGGATGATATTCAACGTTTCATATTCAGAGTATTTCTAGTCTGAAATCTTAAGCTTAAAGTTCAATCTTAATTTTAAACAAAACTGTTACACACAGTAGCCTATTTCATGGACCGTATCCCGTTCTTTCACATTTTTTTGTATTTAAAATTTAAAGTCAAAAACGAGAAAATGGCTAATTTATTAATTTTTCAGATTGATTTCATATTGTTAGATTCAGGAGTATAAACAGGATAAACAGCTTGAATGTGATAAAACATGTGGCATGAAGGAAGGAAGGAAGGAAACGTCCTTTTCCGCTGATTGTTCGTGAAAGATCAACCCGTGTGTTTCGTGCTTACTTTAGCTCTTCCACAGTTCTGCTCAACAACAGTCCTCCACTGCTGGACACGAGTGTTTGTTATAAATACCCTCGACTGGGCAGGACCTGAATGAACTGATATAAGATCCCCAGGACACAAGAGGGCGCTGTTGGGATCTTGCTTTCTTCTCTATAAGTATGGACTCGACAACCTACGTGCCAGAAACATATACAGATTACCTCGGAGTCGGACATACTAAAGGAGGTCATCAAGCTGATACAGGAACCCAGAAACCACCCGAGCCAGTGTCAATGTCATCGATTAGCCATTTGATAATAATAACAACATTACCCTACACTCGTATTTATGAAATGAAAAGCCAACAGAAGTGATCACGAACGACAGGAGTGTGCTCTGACGCTACATAAACATGTTGATCAATGAAAATAGCCTTGAATAAAACATGTAACATTTTTGCAGTTAAACATGTAACCCCATTGAATTTTTCTTTATCCGCTTCATCAATAGCCAAGACATCATATAACTGACGTTTTGGGACGTCTTTTGACCATACGTCAATATTCGCCTTTTTAGGGCCCCCTTAAACGTCGGTAGATGAAGGTTATGGGATCCGAACTCTACCCCAAACCTAACTGACGTTAAAGGTAAAGCGTCAGTTGTATGACGGCCCGGGATCGCCATCTAACGACGTTTAAGGGGGCCCTAAAAAGGCGGATATTGACGTATGGTCAAAAGACGTCAGTTTGGGATGAGACTGTACTGCACCATCTGTTGCACACACATGTTATGCTTAGTAAACACTCGCCAGACCATGACACTAATTTAACTATTGTGACTCAAACACAGGAGCATCTCTGATCAGTTTGAAACAACTATTTTAGCAGAAAACCCCCCAGAATCACTGGTTTAAAGATGAGAGAGGTCCAGAAACTGTTGACATTATTATTATATTTGGCCGTACGCAATAGTGAACACTACAATATCATTTAAAAGGATGGCATAATTTAAAGAAATACTTCTGTGTGGTCATGTATTCAGCGTCTCAGACTGCGCATCATTAAACACGCTCTATGGACAACAGAAAAGGACAAAAAGGCAAACAATAAAGACACAAATAAACCAAGAAATGAAAAGAAACAGAAAAAGCCGCTGATAGTCAGACACAACAGCATTAATAGCGGAAAACCCAACTGTGAGTATGCATAATTTAAAGAAATACTTCTGTGTGGTCATTCTACGAAAATGTCATGTTAAAGATAACAAGACCACTGATAAAATGACAATAACAGAAATGGGGAAATTATAACACATGAGCATGCCATTTAAATGTAGCGTTCCCTGTTATCGGTTTCCTGCTATTGGTCAACAGATAAGAGACTGTTTCATGCATGCAAAGAGATCATCTGAAAAACACAGTCAGCTGTTGTCAAACATGTTTTATAACTTTTGTTAAAACTATGTTTTATGGTAAGTGCCATTTAAAACAAATCTTGATGTTTTTTTAACTGTAATATGAGCAGATGTGTGTTTATCTGCGGTCTCTCTTGATTTATGCTCCTGATCAGAAGATATATTAGTGAGAAAATCATTCTTAAATAATAACAACACTAATTAAACACAATGGTTTGACATTCTCGATCTAAACTTCTCGATCTTTATTTTATTTTCTTGTTCTCTGGGTTGATTTTGGAAATTTGAGCTAATGCCTAAATTAAAACGATCAACAAAGCTGACTTTCCCTAACTTCCCCCTCCAATCAAAAAGAGAAAAAGAGCATAATTAATAAGCGTGGCCTTTAAACCTGAAAGTGACAATCAATTCATTACTAGAAGAGGAGGAGTTTATGAGAACGCAAAGAAGTTTCCTTAAAACCAACACTTGAACAGCCTAATCTCAGTAATGCGCTGGAGATTCCCACAGCTCGTCATAAGGTGATTAAACTTTATCTTTAAATGTTTTGCAAAATGATTTAGGCTATTTAAATCTTTATTAAATCCAGACATTTGTGTTTCTATTATAATCAAACATAAACCTGCATTTCACAAAAATCCTTAACCAATTTTACACAGATACGCAGAATTACGAGAAATCAATGCATTGGAGAACATGTATTCAGCGTCTCAGACTGCGCATCTTTAAACACGCTCTATGGACAACAGAAAAGGACAAAAAGGCAAACGATAAAGACACAAATAAACCAAGAAATGAACAGAAACAGAAAAAGCCGCTGATAGTCAGACACAACAGCATTAATAGCGGAAAACCCCAACTGTGAGTATGTATGATGATTACAGTAATACAGTAATACAGTGTTTCATCTTCTGATGTCTGAATGTGAAAAATAAATTCTAGTCATCAACCATACATGCAAGTGTAAATGATGCATGATCATGCATCATTTGCATTTATGGTCATACATTTAGTTATTTTGTCTGGTGAATGTAAAATAATCTGTCATTATTTTAAATTCAGTTCAAGTCGTTGTTTTGTTAAAAATATTCACATTTTGCAGATTATAAAATGTATATCCACGACTGGACAGGTGTTTTCATTCAAAGATTCATGAATCGATTCGCGCATATGAATCCATTATATTTTCTGATGTTTGCGCTACATCAATGCTATAATCCGATGTTTGTGTTTTTATTTGCAGTTTCTCGTGTTTCTGATATTCATTCTGGTGTTTCATGAGTCGCAGAAGAGGAGGCACTCACACAACTTTTTGCTTTATACGAATAGCCACTTAAAAAATACATTTACTGTAACAAATCTGTGTAACTAAATAAACCTATTTTAAACTTATTGTTAAAAAAAACGAAAGTTTTTCTTATTGTACTTATTTGACTGAACAACACTGTGTATCTGTCACGACTCAGGAAAATACCGGGCAAGTTTTATGATCTGTATTCCCAGAAGACTTCTAGGGAATTTCCTTCTTTCATAGAAGAGCCAAAAAAACAAGAGTAAGAGAAGAAAGCAGGTTTGAAGCTTTCTCTGTTCCAGAACCCCATACACACGGTACAACTTCAAGACACACTTTTACAATAAGCCAGCGATGAAAGGACTATACATAAACTGTCTTTGGCAGGTAAGGTCAAAACAACACAAACGATCTCTGGGAGTTTAAGTATAACTCTTCTCTTACTTCCTAATAGGCAAAAAATAGATACAAATATGGATATAAGTGACTGTGAATATCAGACCAACTGCAACAATGAGTAAAATCATTTAGATTATTTTAGTCAAGATGATTGACAAATAAAATCACTTGTAATATGATTTAATTGCTTATCACTTTTGGCCAATAGGTGGCGCTGTTACAAAATTGATGATGTGTGGTCGGTTTGTGCAAGCCATAAACTTATTATTGACCAACAAATAATTATACAAGACCAAATACATTTATTGTAAACAACACTGGTCCAGAAGCACTTCCTGTTTCAGTTTTTTAACACTACATAAAAGCTGGGATAAAATACAACCAACAGAACATATAAAACTGAATCAAAAAGTTAAACACACATCTTTAAGATGCTTTATTTACATATGAAATAAAGAAAACAGTTACAAACTGAAACAGGAAGTGTTTCTGGACCAGTGTTGTTTACATCTTGCAAAATGGTCTATAATGATATTGAGAGTACATACAAAAGTAGGCTACGTTACCTTTGAAACATTTTAAACCTTCTGCGGGTAACATGACGTCATCACCACCGCAACTTTTTTAGGATCATTCATTAAAAAATACTCATAGGCCTACTGTTTGTGAAAATTGCACTTTTTGTAACCCATCACTTGAAGATATTGAACCTTTATTTTTGTATTGCCCTATTCTTAAAATAGATATGACAAACAAATTTGACTTAATTTAGAACCTAATTCCATTTTACTTTGTTTTCAAAACCTATATTTTTCTGAAAAACTAAATTTTACAATTAAATTATTTTGGGAAAGTTTTCATAAGACGAAAATAACTCAAAAGAAATAAGGAGTTTGGTTCCAAAACGCTATAAATTCATTTTGATGAATTTGAGTAAAACTGTGTTTTCTTTAGCAAGAAAATGGGAAGATGAAAACCACTATTTTCTGTTTCAAAATTTCACATAGCATTTGTACGTTATAATATCACTAAAAATTTAAATCCAGGTTTTGATTTTCAAAGATTTATTATAAAAACAGATCCCCAAAATGCAATAAATCCATTAATTTTTTTTTTTTCAAAATGCAATTAATCAAAATAAAATTTTATACACATTGAATTTCTTGTGCATACTATAAATCCATTGCTTTAATATAACAATATTCGGTAACACTTTAAGGGTACATGTCATGAATTATCATGAATTCATGGATAAATGAATCATGCATGAATTATGCATTCATTCATACATTAATATCATCAGGAACTAACAACGTTTTTTTAACAGTTCAACGTTCACTCTCAGAAAAAAAAAGGTACAAAAGCTGTCACTGGGGCTGTACCTTTTCAAAAGGTACACTTTTGTAACCAAAGGCTGCATATTGGTACCTTAGTGGTACATATTAGCACCTAATGTACATATTAACACTTAATATGTACATATTAGGACCTAAAATGGACATATTAGCTCCTGAAATGTACATATTAACACTAAAAATGGACATATTAGCACCTAAAATCTATATTAACACCTCAAATGTACATATTAGCACCTAAAATCTATATTAACACCTCAAATGTACATATTAGCTCCTGAAATGTACATATTAACACTAAAAATGGACATATTAGCACCTAAAATCTATATTAACACCTCAAATGTACATATTAGCACCTAAAATGGACATATTAGCTCCTGAAATGTACATTAACACCTAAAATGAACTCATTAGTACCTAAAATGTACATATTGGCACCTGAAATGTGCCTATTAACACTTAAAATTTACTTATTAGCACATAAAATGTCCATATTAGCACCAGAAATGGACAGAAGTTTACTTTTTGAAAAGGTACAGCCCCAATGACAGCTTTTGTACCTTTTTTTTCTCAGAGTGTAAAGTGAAGATCATGGGAACTAATTATAATGACTCAAGTGTTACTACTGTACATGATCTAGTCATGACTTGTGCAACCAAACACTAAAGACATTTCAAGCGTTTGAGATTTTTGGTGAACTTTTAAAATTGTCTTTAGAGGTATGTAATAACACCTGAATCATTAGTTAGTTCCCATGATCTTCACTTTAATACGGATCCAAATAATCAGTAATTCCCTCTTTCATCTGTGCGCTATTACTTACTAGTTCGTTAATCAGATTTTCTTTTAGTTAATAGTAGTTACTAGATTGCTAATAAACTTTTTCAGTAGTTCTCTGGGAAGCATTAAAAATAGTTATTGAGTGAACTTTCATCTGTGCACTATTAGTTAGTTCATTAATCAGAGTTTTCTTGTTAGTCAATAATAGTAACTAGATTGTTGATATTGTGTTATTTTTTGCTTCTTGTGTAGTTGCTCATTAACGAAGCCGTATATATTTATGTTACCTGTATAACGCTTTTCACAGTAGGCTACTTTACAGAAAGACTTGCAGCTTTTGTATAATTAATTTGTAGTATAAGCTCACTAAAAATGTTTAATTTCACAATCTATAGATTCAGTAGTATATGAAACAGCTTATAAGTTCAAATAAAATAAAAGTCATTATAAGTTCAAATGACTTAAGTAATCGTCTGATTTGTAACCAGGCACTAAAGGGTTACCCATAAAATGTGCTTGAACCAATCGAGCGCTGATCAACAGCTGTTTTTTGCTGATCTCCCGCGCGCGCGCCCTACACACTGGCTCTGACACTGAGTACCAACGGTTTATGACATCAAAGGACCGCGAGAGAGCTCAGAGAGCAGGCGCTTTGTATGCTTTTGAATTGCTCTCGGGACTTTGATGTTATAAACCGATTGGTCAGTGCAGCGCCAGTTCAAATAGAACAAGCCAATGAACATGAGACACAACCATGTGACTTCTGCAGAGTGAAGAAACTTGAACCAGGCTACATGAAAGTGAACCCACACAATGGGTTAACCGTTAAAGGAAAATAATGTAGCCTACAAATGCAGCTCAGTATATGCAACAACTGGATATTAGAAGACATGTTTGTCATAAGTTTTATTGTAAAAATATAGGATATCAACATAATGATGCAGTTGTTTATATGTATAGCTTCACTGCAAGTGTATGACATTTGCTATAGAAATAAACAATTGTAATTAAGTGCTTTTCCTAAAAATGAGAATGAAAATACACGCAGGTAGAATGAGCAAAAAATAAATACTGTAAAAAAATCAATTATGCGTCTTGTAATTTTCCTTAAAAAATGAAGGTGATAATTAAAAAATATTGTGTATATTTTAGAAAACTGTGGTTCAGTGATGTATAGAAAATATTGAGAATATTTCACTACTAAAACCAAGACATACGTTTTCCTTCTTTTTTTAAGGAAACATGCATAAGTTTGAGGCTTGAATTTCATTTCATTTAATTCATTTATTTATTTCAACAGGGACAATGAAAAAACATTAATTAAAGATGCTTTGCACCAGATTTAGCTTAAGCTAGTTTCCATCTGCAGTCCCCGAGCAGGTGAATTACAATACAAAATATACAATATAAAATGTTATAATTAGTCACTCAAATACAACTATCTATCAATTAATTCATTCATCATTCTCTATTTCAACCATCAATAAAACCTCAATAAAACCTCACTAAAAGTCATATTTACATACATAATTGAGGATTAAAGTGATAAAATTAAGGAAAAAGGGCTACCAATTTATTGCAAGAGAATTAACTCAGTTATGATGTTTTATTCAGAGACACCATTGTTAGCTCCCAGCATGCTTTGCACATGGCTGGTAGGAGAGGAAATATTTAAATTAAGTGTTATTTTATGTGTTTTTGAGTACAGGGAAACATATAAACAGTTTATTTCTATTCACTTAAATTCACACACCCTTTGGGCGTCAACTTAAAATAAAAAAGCATATTTCACTGAACATATTAAATTTAGTGAATCATAGACTTATGCATAGATGAATAGATCATTATTAAATAGCAGTAACATTTTTTTTTTTTTTTTAGTCTGAGTTAGATAAGATGTACGCTTTCAGTTTCCAAAATTAAACATATATTTATTGAGAATGAGAACGTGACATCACGCGTCTAACTCCGCGGTGCATTGTGGGAGGGATCCGCCATCTTGGGAGGATACGCTATTCATTGTCATGGTTACTTCGACCGTGAGACCGAAATGGCAACAGAGAAGGAGTGCAGCTTAAAATTTATTTGCATTTTTGCAATAGGGCACAGTTTCTTGGGAATAAATGAAGCAAAAGGAAAGGGTCTCTATCGGGAGAGACTACATAACAACACTAAGCAGCGTTATTTAGAGAAACTACTTGACATCAACATACAGTATGGACCCGTACGACCTGAATGGATGAAAGACCCGAAGCACTGCCACCATTCACACACCCTGACATAGTCAATTACCTGGTTTATGGTAACAGTGTCTAACGTTACTGCTACACAATCCAAGAGTTCAGAAGCTTTAAGTCATTATGAACAATTCTGCTGTTGGGTGCAAGAGAAACCCCCAAATGTATTTATTTTCTTGAACTTGGGTCCCTGCTCTGTCCTTGTATTAAGATCGGTGTGCTCACTGTTTTGTTCTGGTGCCCAAATGCAATATCACTGACAGTGTTTCTGAATGTTCGATTGATTGTTGTCTTGTCTTGTTTAAAATGACTGGAAGGCTAAAACTGAATT